TACGTTTAGACAAAAGGAAAAAAATTGTAGGAAACGTTTAAAATTTTGAGATTTGATTGTGGATTTTAACTATTTATATTTGTAAGAAAAAAAATGTATAGAAATTCTAATTTGATAGTGTTAAAAAAATAGAAATAAATAAATGAATTTTTCTCAAAATGATCCCTCGACTATTCTCAAAATTGTCCCTCGACTATTTTTCAGAGTATATTAGGCATATAATAGGTGAATGGACGAAAATGCCCTTCATTTTAACACTCAATAGATAGAATTTCTAACGGAGGACCAATTTGAGGGAGTTTTTAAAAGTCAAGGGACCACATTGGGTGCAATTAAAAGTCAAAATGTAAAATTGAGAATAAGCGATAGTCGAGGGACCATTTTGGGAAAAAAACTCTCTCTCTCTCTCTCTCTCTCTCTCTCTCTCTCTATATATATATATATATATATATATATATATATATATATATATATATATATATATATATATATATATTTATTTATTTATTTATTTATTTATTTATTTATTTTTGTGTGTGTGTGTGAGACAGTCCAAATCTAAAATTATAATTCAGTTTTAATTTTTTATTTTTTTACACTAAGCATAAGATTTTAGGTCTCTCTTTCTCAATTGATGTTTTCGACTTTCCAATGTCTTCATTATTATATTGAAGTCAAATTTGTTCTTCTTCACAATGTCACAATCACAAATGAAGCACTACATTGAAGATGAATGAGGAGTTGAAATTGAATAACATTTGTAATTTAAATTTTTTTGAATTTAAATTTAAATTAATTATTTGTATTTTTAAAATCTGTCATCATATATGCATCTAATACACCATTATTAGCAAGATCAGATTTGATTGTATCTGTACTCTAGCAGATGTTGATGCGAACAAGATTTTTCAAATATACCTTTAACGAATTAGACTAAGATTCACCGTATATCTTCTTTAATCCGCTCCACACTCATCCTAGCTGGTACATAATACCTATAGCCAAAATGAAAGTTGATGAAATTAAAGTCCATTATATTTATGTGAAAGAGACAACACACCTTCCTCCCACTACCAAGAGTCTGTAGTTTTGGAAACACAAAAGCAGATTCAAATTAGAAAAAGGTTGATGATAAAACATGCATGATCTCTTTTCTAACACTGTAGTTTGGAGAAAACATAATCCATTAGAACATGTGACCTTTTTTAGTGTGTGAAAATTATATTGCATACTTAATTAGTCCCATACCATATCTGCTGCAAAATCACTTTTTGCAGCCATGGAATGAACTAATAACAACTATATAGTTTAGTTGTGGGTCATCATACCATCCTATGCTAGTTGTGCCTTGTGACATGTCTCAATAACTAATTCAGTGTAGTGTGATCATATGGTCCTGTTCCACTTGATGGGACCATCAAGTGGACATTTATCTCATTCAAATAAAAAGTTTAAGTTTGTTAACTCTAGTTATATCTATGAGTTATATATATAGTTGAGGTTTGACCAATTGTAATAGTAATATTTCTTCTTTGTTAGAAAGTTGGTTTGTTTACTATTTTGGTTGAATCTCAATTATATCATTCACAAGCTAATTAATTAATCAATATATTTAAACTCATATTTTATTCCTAATAGTTACGAGTTTGATTTTTACCCGCACTTTCTTAATAAGTCCGTCACAGAAGATTTACTTAGTGTAGTTTATTTTTCTTGTGTGATCTGTAGTTATTACTTATTACACATGAATAAAGTTTACCTACTAAGTTTTCTCATGACAACAAATAAAGCAACACTTTTTTAATAATTATAGATTTAATGAAAATATAATACTTTTGTATTGGTAAAAAGATGTAGGCTTTATTTTGTAAAATAGTTAGCCTCGGTCAATTTTTACTTATTTGACCATTATTAGTTGTTTAACTTGGTTAAACAATGAATAAAAGTGTTTGATTAATTAACTTTTTGTAACAACTTATTGCACCAAAATGCTAAAATTTAAAAAGCTGCTCAAAATAGCTTTTTGAGAAAGTCAATTTGTATGTAATCAGCTATTAATTAACAACTAATTTACCAAACACTTTTCTATAATTAACTAATGAAGTAATGATATCAACTACTCAAATTCACTAACACAATCAGCTAACAGCTATTAAATAACAACCATTTAACAAACACCCACATAATATTTCATTGGGAGGTATTACTTGTTCCTCGACGTATTAGTGAAAATGTAAGACTCATTAACTCATAAAATATACCCTTTGAGATATTATATTTTCCTTAAAAAGTATTATTCATTGACACAATACCAACTAAAATTTTAATAATGAATAATATTCACTTTTGTAACAACAACAACAACAACAATAATAATAATAATAATAATAATAATAATAATAATAATAATAATAATAATAATAATATCCTACAAAATCTTGGTTTATGACACATTGACACCTTTTATATATATATATATATATATATATATATATATATATATATATATATATATATAGAAAAACGCTCATATGTGGTCATGTCATTAGGTGTGGTCGTGTGGTCGTATCTGTGTCGTTGAATCAGTTTAATCTAAAGGCTGTGGTAATTCTGAGGATTTTCGCGCGTTTTAGTAAGTGGGGGTGTTATGATAATTACAGTGACCATTTATAGCGGGCGGGTTCCAGAATACACCAACAGTGTTGACAACATGCACCAATAGTGTAATAAAACACACCACAGTGAAACACACCAATGGTGTATTCCCGTGTTATGGTAATTACAGTGGCCATTTATAGCCGTCGAGTTCCAGAATACACCAACAGTGTTGACAACATGCACCAATAGTGTAATAAAACACACAACAATGTGATTTTCCTTATTCCGGTGTTTTATGACAAGTTTACCCTTACAGTTCGCTGGGTAGAAGAATGTGCGCGAAAATACTGAAAAAATCTTGATTAATATGATCCATTAGATCTATCTAATCTAATGGTCTATAATTAACCATATGACCACACCTAACAACATGGCCACATGTGATCACTCCTCTATATATATATATATATATATATATATATATATATATATATATATTGCTGTTGAAAACACACGTTATATTTGCTATTTGAAGTTGACAGGCTAAATCTTTTAACAGCCTAACCAATATTAGGTTTTGTTATATATTTATCAATCATTATTCTTTCGACCAATCATACTATCAAATACTCCGTAATGTACATTCATTAATCTACTTCTAATATATTAAAAATATACATTGTATTTAAAAAAAGAAATATACATTAAGTATAGAAATAATAATACCCCACACTAAGTTTCAAACCTAAAACATCGCATTTAAGAGTTTACAACTATGTCGCTCAATCACAAAGCCTTTGTAATAGAATCAATAGTATTAACCAAAAAAAAGTAATAATAATAATAATGCTCGTATTTTGAATTATGTTTATATTGCTATATTGAAAAAATTATACATTATGCAAAAGATGTTGAGCCATCAAAATTTCTTGGACAAATGTATCCTTACGCCAACATATTTTCCATTAGTTTGTATCATTTCCTATTTAAACATATATCAATAATATCAATCTATAAATATTGTTTCCTCCATATATTGTAATACAAAACAATTAATAGTCATCTAAAGATCTCATATTCTCTTATGCCGGCTGCGTCTTTAATGAAATTAGAGACTTTCGTAGACACTTTGAAGTACTGTCATTCAGATTTATTCCTAGATCAGTGAATAAGACTGCTCATGCTCTAGCAAGGGCTGCCCGTTCTCAAGCTGGTCCGTTTGTTTGGTTATTTGATATTCCCAATTGTATTCAGACCTTGATTTAATAATATTTTCGTCTTTTTTCTTTTCAAAAAAAAAAAAAAAAAAAAGATCTCATATCCTAAAAGAAAAAAAAAAAATCCAATATTTATAAAGAGTTTGTGTTTCTCCTAATAACATATATGACTCATAAAACAATAATACTTCTATATTATGGTATCATTTGTGGCCAATCAATATATAATAATTTATATAAAAAGAGAATTAAATATCTCAATAGAATGGAATTTCTTTCTATATGATTATTTATTTTGGTATAATGTAATCAAATTAGTTAATATAGTTATATAGAACTATTTTTTTATATTTTATTTCGTTATTTCTACCCTAATAAAAAAATTGAAGATTTTTGAACTTTGAATTTTTTAAAACTAACTAATTTTATTGACAAAAATTGAAAAAGCAAATTATATAAACAAAATTTTTTGTTAGAATTTATATTTGATCCTTTTTATTTATTTATTGATAATCCATATATTAAAATCCAGCACTTTTACAACAAAAGCGTTTGTAGTCCAACGGTTAGGATAATTGTCTTCCAAGCAATAGACCCGGGTTCGACTCCCGGCAAACGCATTAAGGTTTTTTTAGCTTATAAGGCTTATCTCAAAGAAAAAATGATTAATATGTATGAATAATAATTTTGTACTTAGTTTCTCGTCATTAACTAGTTAACAATATAAATGAAACTTGCAAATGAAATAATTAGTTATGCAAGCACTTTATAGTATTTTTCATTATAATTATCGTAAACTTTCTGATATGATCCCACCATTCATGAGCTAGTTTTTGTAGTAGAGTTAGAGTCTTGGCTTGAGTATCGTATCATTCTCATTACAAGGGCAAAGAGGGTGTAGTAGTGTAGAAATTAAACTGTGATATATTGAATAACTGAAGTCATTTACAATTTAATTTTTCATGATACTAAGTTTAAAATTAGTATGTAAAATTTATATATTTAGAAACTACATTAAAAGTACGGTTAAACACAAAATTAAATTTAAAAATTATAAGAAAAATGTTAATAGAAATAAACAAAGAATAAAAAATTTGTTTGACCAATGAATAGTAAGTAGGACAGATAAAATGGGATATATATTATGATTCATGTCTAAATCATACAAGTGTTGAAAGTGTATGTAAAAAAAGTTGGTGAATAGATTCAACATGGAGATAGTTGAAAAAGCATAGTCTTGTCAAAAGGTTATATATATCTGACATTTTCCAAAGAATTTCTTTAGAGAAAACCCATCCTATTGATGCTAATGAGAGGAAAGTAAACTAGTGAAAATTCAAAGATACAAATAATTCAAATTTATTCAGGTTTTTCATGTGGACAACAAAAGATAGATTGATTTGTTCTCCAATAAGGTAAGCTTAGAAGCAGTTCTTTGTGTAACCTGCAAGTATAAGCTTCCCATTCAGAAACTGCAGCAGAAAAGCTAGCCCAGTCAAGTTTATATTGCTTCTCGTTGACAGTTATCTGATAACCGAAGAGTATCTCTGCTTCTTGGGGATCCTTTACAAATAGGCATTTCAACCGATTTATGTGCGCCCTTTGAGTTTCGGATGTTGGAACCACCTTGGCAGATACCGGTTTTAGTTCAGTCTTCAAATCTAAGAACTTCCAACAATAAAATAGTACGACCTGGTAAAGAAAAGGAGTGTTAGCATGAAAATTACACATTGACTCTGTCCATATAGTTTTATTCAATCTAGTTTAGCAATCATATCGAATAGCACAAAATCAAGATTCCCTGTCAAACAGCTTAATTTTCGTTTTTAGATGCCAACAAAATGTCCTAAAGCAAGTAGCTAGTGGTGTCCCGCTTTGGAAGATCACATAATTGAGTGTTCCATCTCACTTGTTGATTACGTTTTCTAACAATATTCCAAAAAAAAAAAAAAAAAAAAATGAGACATCATGTTAACTGTTATAATAATAATAATCTTAGATTGGGCTAGGGCCACTCAACTGGGCTATAATGCATATAGGCCAAACCACACTAAAAGATTGAATCCAACTAATTAGCTAGTCTAACACATGGCCTTATAAACACATATGTTCTCTCTTATTTTATCAACGTGGGACTCTTAACATTAACAATTAGCAAAAAGTCCTGACAAAGGATGGCCCGGAGATATTTTGCAATGCCAACTCTATGTGGAGGAGCAATGAATGATACCTGAAGGGCATGTGTTACATTTGCAAATTTGTTTGCAGACAACTCGTCAACTTGTGCTAACTGGAGTGGCTCTTTGAGTAGTTCTAACAAATTACTGGATGAATCTGATGGCAAGCCACAACTTATTTCCCAAGAGGAATAAAGCTCAAATCCAAGAACATGTAACCTTCCACACCGTATATCAAATCCCGAGGAGAACTTTGAGGCTTCGTCTGGGGGGAACCAATACATATTAATTGGTGATGGAATGGGTAAAAATGAATCATCGAGTGAAATTTGTGAGAGTAATGAGATCAGTTTGGACTCTTCATCATGAGATGCATCACGGCTGAACCACAAAGTAAGCGTGGCACGTTCCCCATCAGTTACCTGCTTGTAGAAAATAGGAAGGGGACATAAAGACGTGAATGCTAAAGCATTATAGATTGAGCAATAGGGGTCCTATACAAATGATAGGGACCTCATTTGGCATTGAAAAGAGGATGACTGGATTAGCTCCAAAGTTAAAAATTCAACTCATCCACTGAAACATTATATGGATTCCAGTGAAACCATGAAGCACATAATTATACATTGAGCAATAGTTAATTAATAAAGTTCTACAACTCTAAATAGAGAATCGGGCAGCTAAATGCATTTATTGTCAACAGGGAGAAAGAACTGGGGATTCAAGGCTGCCTCCAGCTGAGAATAACCACATCAGCAAAAATAAAAAATAAAAAATAAAAAATAAAAAATAAAAAGCCAGCTTTTCAATTTCAAATGCCATGTCAATAGGGTAACTGAAGGCTACCTGCTAACTGGAGCTATTTGAGTATTCAAAGGACCAATTGTATGTTTTTTCTTTGAGTTCAGAGGTCAAATGCATTTTCGCAACAAATACGAAAGCCTATTTGACCATTATCCTGAAACTCTATAAAGAGCAAAAAACATTTGAAAATTATTTTTAAAAATGTTAATTAAATAAGTGGAAAAAAAAAAAAAAAGAGTGGGTTTGACAAATAAATACTCCGTAGTAAATAAGACAAAAGGAGTAACTAATTACAACAACCCCTAAATAAACAAGAAATAAAAACCTTCTATTTAGAGATACTAAAATACTCCACACAGGGTTGCTCTTGATGGAGTTTAAACCTTAGGTTGGGGCCTCACCTCAACCACTGGGCCAAAGGTCATTGGTAAAGGCATACAAACATTAAAATGTTCATTTTGTGAGTGTATATTATATTACACATTGCACAATAGTTAAGAAGGAAAATGTGAAAAGCTAAAAAAAATAAAAAAATTAGCTGAAGTAGGGCAGAGAGTAAGTGTTACCTCATCAACACAGTGGATATTTTGATCGTCTGCTGTGTACAAAATGGCATCCTGGTGTGGCATAACTAATCAGTAACAAGAAGTTAAAGTAAAAAATAAGAAGCAATATGTGACAACTAATTTCATTGCAGACTTCAAATATAATGTTTGCAGTTATGCAGTCATAATATCACATTGTCACTCAAACCTAAGAAACATCTGGCAGGAGCACAAAAATGAGATCTTTCTTATCTTTATATGCTTCGTTGCTCAAGTTGTTCAAAATTGAGCACCAAGATTTATTTTGAAACTCATCTACTAAGGGTGCATTTGGAAGAGACTCAACTGCTTTCCTGAAGGCCGTTTCGATGAACTACAGTTGAAGCAATTAGAGTGGTGAGCTGCTCCAATCACAAAAATTCCAACTAGGGGGGTAAGGGTCCGGTGGGAACAGTGTGATTGGAAAGTTGGCCTGCTCCAATCTCACCACCACTGTTCTAACTGCTCCAACCTCATTGCTTGCCCAAATGCACACTAAATAAGATGAACTAATTTTTGAAGTTCGTCAAGGTTCAAATGTTCAATTTGTAAGGGGCAACAAAGGTGTGCCATCTTATAAGAAAACCAAAACAAATCTACTCAGTATATTGGTCTTGAACTATTTAGGAGATTAGACTATCAGAGAAGTCCATACTCCATAGAACAACTAGAAACAGGAAAGGGAAATTAATATGTTGAAATTAAAGAAATATAATAATATAATACTCAAACAGCAATAAATGGAGATCTGTTGAGCCATAAAATCACTTACACCAGCCATGGGCAAGATGTCTGTAGGCTCCCCGTCCTGGAAATGAAAGACCCCTCCTTTGAAATCCACATTATAACTATTCAAATAACAAACTGCCTTGAACAGAAAAAGTAAAAACTAGTCAGCAAGAGCAACTGTAAGACATCATAGAAAATAAATGAGAATACAAATTGGTATTGCACCATCCATCATTCAAACTACAGAAATATCAAGAACTTTGTTTGCAACCAGGAAATAAGAGGCTACAAACACAATGAGACAGACAACACCAAAAAAAAAAAAAAAAAAAAAAAAGAGGAATGCAATTAGGCAGACAATAAATTTTAGACATCTTGGCTTCAAAACGATGGCATTTTTATTTTTTTTTTCATTTCACTTTCAGTACATCAACTGGGTACATGACTAACAACTGCTATTGTCTAGTTTATTAAGTTCCATCTGGAAGCTTCTGTCATTGAAATTCATATTATACTTCACCAGCATTGTAACACTGTCTAATGTGAAGTTATGGAATTGTTGCAGGAAAAGAAGAAAATGTCACAGATGTATGAAATAAAAATAATTGAGTAGCAAGCTTATCACGGCGCCCTGTTAAGTCGCGGTGCCCCCCGACTGCATTGTCGCCTAAGCGACTAGGCGCCCGCTTAGGCGACAAGTTAACAAGTACAATATATATATATATATATATATATATATATATATATGTATATATAATGAGTAGACAACCTTTTCCCCTCATCAGTGCAATACACTGTAAATCGAAATCCGAGACAAAATCTACAAAGGATTGAGATATTGGTGCTTAGTGCTTTTGCTTCAGTATCAGTACTTCATATTTTCTGATAAGTGATAAAAAACTGTCTATGGAAGTAATAGGGAGCTGCATTGCTGCAAAGGTAATTTCTTCCTCTTTGGTTAGGAATTTGAAAAGGAACTTGTGAAAAAAAAGAGAGAGAGGATGGTGAAGAGGTAATCTCCCTTGTTTGGAAAGGAAGTGTTATGGAATGTATATATATATTAGGTAGCATGGAGATTTAAAGGGATTAGAGTAGGTGGTCACAAGGAAAGAATTGGTCTTGTTTCCTTCTTATAGGTCTTCTAGGCTTCTAGCATGCATATATAGGGCTGTGTATTCTTTCTACTTAATTATTCAGAAACATTCTCTTCACTCTTGTACATGGTCGGCATACCTTCCCAGAGGAAGTAATAAAGGAATAGATGTAAAAAAGGGAGTTCCCTTCCCTACTTATCAAATTTGGTGTCATTGTGTAAACATCAAGTATAAATGAGGAAATACCTGTTATATTTGATGACATGGATAAACCAACTGATAATTGAGCTAGTACATTAAAACCATTGATAGAAAACTACATAAATAATATGTATGGTACTCATCTGCAGAAGGATATAATAGAGACATAATTCTTGTGATGTGATAGCAAGTTAACATGGGAGTACATAAGACCTTCGTTAAGTTATCCACAGCAGGAATTGAAAGCTCTAGCAACAACACACAGTGAACATATAATTTTGGTTGCATAGATCAACATAGAATATTGAAAAACAGATACAAGAAAGAAATAATAAAGGACAAGAGTGAAGATTTAAAAAAAAAAAAAAAAAAACTGAAAATTTAAAAAGGAAGGAGATACTCGGATAGAAAAAGAACACACCGCAAAATCTCGTTGTTTAAGATAAGGTCTATTGTTGTCACTGTGCCAACCAATGCTTGATCCTTTACACCAGCTGAATATTACATAAAAACATTAGGCATCTATTTATAATTTACTCAATAGTACATGTTTAGTAACGTCAACAAGAAGAAACGAGAAATGAAGCAGATTTTGGAAAAATTGGTTCTCAGCTGTCCTCCAAATTAGGCAAGGGTAAATAACATGCAGAATTGGTACATCAGTACATGACTATAACACTAGTTAACTGTTTATGAACAGTTTGAATGTCAAAAAGTATTGAGACAAAGCAAACATTCAACTATGTTATTGAGTGGTGAAGTGTACGGCATGGACTGCACTTCTTTGGTTATTGATTTTTCAGAACAATTAATTCTATGAACTAACATGCATCTGACAATTAAATAGGAAAAGACAAAATTTTAATCAATGGCCAATAAAGAAGTTGCATTCAAGGAGTCTCTATATTCAGCCAAAACCAAAAGGTTTTTATGATGTTTTGATTACATTAAGTTACCATCCGCTGACCAACATCATGTACAAGGCACTGTATCTAGCCTTAAGATATTTGGGAGCTTACTGCCCAAGATCTAGGGGAAGCTAAGCCATCCTCTCCCATGGCTGTGCCACTTTTTCAAGTGTCATTGCTCTAATGAATGGCACATACAAATGTAGACCCAAATCCAAGAAGCTAATAATAACTCCATCAAACAAAGTACTTCAGTACTTCACCAAATTTTAGAAGAAAACTACACTCCATCCTTGTTCTCCTCTATATTCCAAGACTCAGTTTTTGCAATGTCACATGTCAAATATACAGAAGTAAATAGACTCCTTAACAACTAGAGTAACAATCTTCTATTACATTCCATTCTTATGGATTCTCCTTGACATTAATTAGGGTGGGGTGGCTCACAGCTAAAATTCAATAGAAAAATAGTAAAAAGGGGAAGCGAAGAAAAAACAGAAAAATAAATTTTGAAAGTATTTTGCAGTATAATAATAAGACCAACCTGATTAGTCCAGTGAATTCAACAAACAGCTCGTACTCGCATCCAAAATACTCTTCCACTTTCTCCTTCAGCCTCTCTACCACACCCACCCAAAGAATACACATAAATATAACTAAGAACAAGAAAGTATCGCAGCCTCACAGATTGAAAAAAAAAAATTAAATTAAATGAAATTGTCGAGAACTGGAAAAGCATATGAAGAACAGAATAAAAGTGCGGTGAGAATGAAACCTCTGATAGGAATTATGGGCATGATCAAATGAGCGCAGTTAGTAGCAATTAGATGAAAGAGTGTGGTGGAGAAGACATTTGGTCTGTACCCAACTGTGCAACAGCTCTTATGTATAAACTCTAATTCCTACGATCATTAAAAAAAAAAAAAAAAAAAAACAAAAACAAAAGAATGGATTTCAGGATTTTCAGCTGTCTGTAATTTAGGTTTTCTGGTAGTGGTGAAAATCACCTTGCAGAGTTGGAGAGATAGAAAGTTGCGAAGGATGAGGCGCGGGTGCTTGCAATCTGCCATGTTTGGGATTGAGAATTGAAATCTGGAAAGGAAATACAAAAATACTTCGACTCTCCACAGAGTGCCGAACCCCTCTCTATGAAAAAACTAAAATCAATAGCACTTTGCTTTTTAATTGGAAGACTGGATGTGAATAAAGATTAATTTGAATATAGAACATTTAAAAGTGTTACAATTAAAATTCGCTCATGATACTTTGTGATCTAACAAAAAAAATAAAAAATAGTATGCTATGTTGGTACACCACTACGAAATCAACCTTAATCGGGAATTAAAGCATAAAAATAATCAAGTTTTTTTTGAGGATTCGAACCTCTGAGTGTGACCTTTTATTTGAAATGGTAATAGAAAGAGTGATGCCATTAGGCCACACTTGAATTAAAAATAACTTTTGGTCTTTCACGTAGTAAAGATTTAACATACAGTGATTTAGTTACTTCATATGATACTATTTATCAATCATAAAAAATGATAAAAATTAATCCAAATTTAATATACATGAGAGTTTAACCGCATTAAGAAGATCATGTGCGACATTCTCAATAAAGAGTGTATTGACAAAAATTAAGTACGTGATCTTTATGTATTAGAATCATGCTTCATTACTTGGTCGCTGTTTTTAGACAGCAAAGTTGATTCTTTTACTTTGAAGAAAATTTGATTAAAAAGAATTTAATGTGACACACCATTTATATGGAGCCAAATCTTGGATCATATAGTTACGTATCAATTATTTAAATGAATGAATTTTGTAGTCATATAATTTTACTTTATTTTTGGTTGGGGATTTTGTAGTCATATAATATCATGTTGGTGATAATGAATCACAATCGATTTAATATCTCAAAAATAATATTTATATATATACACACGAAATATATATAAAATATTATTGGATATATATATATATATTTTGAATGCTACTAGCTCTATTACAATGTAGTATCTGTTCATATACTTTCTCAACCTACTGAAACACAAAGAGCTAATAACGCCTCCACTGAGGCTCGAACTCACAATCTTCCAAATGGAAGTCCAACCCGGGTACCATTGGACCACATAGTCCTGGTATATATATATATATATATATATATATATATATATATATATATATATATATATATATATATATATATATATATATATATATATATATATATATATATATATATATATATATAACGGATCTAAAGGTTATATATACATGTATATCTACAAAAAAGATATATACCAATATATATCAAGTAGTTATCAACCTAAAAGGAACATATAAACCTTGGATATAATTCCAAGTCAACAAGAAAGAACAGATTTTTGCTTAGAGCATAATCCAAAAACAAGAAAGAAGGAGAAGGAAGAAAGATCCGTACGAGTTAGGTAAAGTGCCTGTCTTTCCTTAAAACCTTATTTGCCACCTCCCAAAAGTGCTAGGAGCGTTGTGGCCTAGGTTTCCCAGGATAAAACGTACAACGGTTCGACGTTTGAGCACCCAAACGAACGAACCCGGCGAACTAGAGCACGGGCAAAACAAAGTAGCAAGAAAAGAGTAGGAGCAGAGTTTTTGAGAAGAAAAAAAAAAAGTGTTTATCTTTGTGTGTTGTGTATTCTCGTGTTCTTCCCTCACTTGTTGTAAAAATCTGTTGTCTTCTACCCCTTCTTATATTGGGAGGTGGAGTACTCAATAGCATTCATGATGGCATTCAAAACTTGTTTTGTAACTCCTGTAACAGAAGCCATAAGTTGAGTTTTAATTCACACCCGCAGGCCAGCCAATTTTCGGACGACATTCGTGCCCGCGCACACGAGCTCGGGCTTGAATCAAGCCTCTTTGATCTCGTTTCTAGTTGGAATTTGATTTGTACCCCCCCCCCCCCCCCCCCCCCCCCCAATGTGGGACAAAACTCACTTTTCCCTTCATTTTTCCAACTCAATGGGTCTACTTTGAGAATCAATATCTCATTCACCCATTATCCGTTTTGAGCGTACAATATATCAATCTCTTCGTCTCACAACGAAGAACCCGAATCCACTTTGACCCGACCCAAATCAAAAGTGGACCTCACTGATAATCGTACCACAAAATAGCCACTTAATATGCAATTTTATGTCATTTTAAGCTATTTTTCCAACATATCACAACGTAAAAATTCATTAAAAAATTTTCATATGTAGTTCAGCCCATATCAAAAATAAAAGTGTAGTGAATGGTGACATATGAAATTAGAATATAAACAATAAGATTGTCATTTGCAATGCAAAAGAATTACATTTACAAATAAGTACATCAATTTTCAAGTTAAAAAAATAATAATAATAATAATAAAAGAAGCATTTATTAACATAATTTTTATTATATGATAACCATATTAAATTCTAGGTGGATTATTTTAGGTTTAATTGCATGATTACATTTTTTTGTTGAATTGTCCAATTATAATTTCGTGTAGACCAATAATCTATTTGATACTTATTTCTAAAAGCAGTGTGAAAAAGATGCGCTCAATTTTTTAATTTTTCGGCCGGCTAGACTATATAGGCTGCCTAGCCCGCCTAGGTAGCCACCCACACACGGCCGGAAGACGCGCCCAATTTTTTAATTTTTCTTTTTAATTTTTCGGCCGTCTAGACCGTATAGGCTGTCTAGCCCGCCTAGGCAGCCACCCACAGAGAATGTCGACACGGCCGGACGCCGCCTAGCGCTGATTAATCGACGCAATTTTTGCAACACAGCCTAAAAGCGTTAATTCTAAATTTAGTCATCTGAGTATCACACATTTTCAATTATCTTGACTAAATTTAGTCATTAAGTATTGAATTATTTTTTCTTATGTGAATCATTAATATTAACAGTAAAATTAAGACGGCTACAATAAGAAAATTAGAGCTTTGGTTTTTTTTAGGTGTAAGAAACAATTGACACAATGATCATGACTTTCCAATTCAATATTAATAATTCATACATACAAAAACAAAAAACAAAAAAAAAACAAAAAAAAAAAAACAAAACAAAACAAAACAAAACTAATGGTAAATTAAAATTGAAAAAGATTTAATTTAATATTGAGTGATTAAATTTGATAATTTTAAAAGTAAAGACTAAAATTGAAAATAATGATAGTTTGAGGACTAAATACAGAATTAACTCTTCCTAAAATTAACCATGTCTTTTTATCCTTATTTTAAAACCACCTTGATCTACCAAGATGCATGTATGAGATTAATTCACACCTTTACCTGAAACATGTTCTCATTGGGACCTAATCCATATGACCATACTAACAAGTCAAAATTAAACTGAAAAAAAAAAAAAAAAAAAAAAAAAAAAAAAAAAAAAAAAAAAAACATTCTGCATATATAAAACGAAGTTCAAACATTATACTCACAGATTAATACTTAAACCAAGTCACCGGTTACTCACTCACTCTGGAATGAAAAACATCAAACAAAACATAAGCCGCGAGAGAAACATATAAGGGTGGAAACATGATATTTGGCCATTTCACAAAACTAGCATTGCCAATCCACATGTTACCGACAAGTCGAATGTCTTACTAACAAAATGTAAGAGCATCACTTCACAAATGGAACTCCAGAAGGAACTCCTTTGGCATAATTTTCGTACTGGCTACCGAAAAACTGCCTCAAGAAAAATTCCTCGTAGGGTATCCTCTCGTAGAAGAATCGCCAGACAACTACCGCAAATCCAATGGTTGAAATTGGGTTGCAAAGCATGATTTGAGTACCAACAGACCAGATCAAGAAACCACAATAGCTGGGATGGCGTATGTATCCATAGATTCCGTCAGTAACTAGCTTATGATGTTCCTCGTGATAGAGTTTTATGAGATGAGTAAAGGCCTGACCGGCAGTTACAATAGCTAGCTTCCTGATTATCTCACCTATAATAACCATTGCCAGACCCGTATTGCTTATCAACCAATGTTCCTTCATCTGAGGAAAGAAGTATATTTCGACGAGGTACTCTAACAGGCAGAAGATCATGGCCATTGCATAGTTTCTGCTGATCAGAAGGGACTTGAGAGTTACTTTTGACTTCCCGTGAATGGTGATTGCAAGAAGATACTCAGAAACATGGAAGAACATTATTGCAAAGAACATTTGCAATAATTGTCTTAATGCCGTGTAGCTAAAAATTTCTGTCATTTTAGGCTAAGTCAATAGACAAACCGCTCCTTGGAAGAACTTCAATGAGACTTAAACCGAATCATGTAAGAATGTGAATTAAGAAAAGTTGCATTCTGAACTCTAATTCAGACCTGAAAATGTTGAAGAGCTGTGTAAAACCAGTGACATAAACTGGGCCTCACAATCAAAGCAAAGATCTTTTAAGAATGACATTTTCTGCAATATAATGTAAATATAATCATATGTCAAAGGGCAAGTCAGGTCTGAAAGAAAATAAAAAACAGAGATGCAACAAAATTTCAAGTCACAAACATTGCTGAAGCATAAAACATCAGATTCCATGGCATGGCATGTAAGAGTTACACATACAAAATTTTGATATGTTGAAAATTGATAGTTTACAGACAAATTTCAAAGACACTCTTCACCAAACTGCTACAATCAAGTCTTAAGGTTTAATGTGTACAATATAGCAGAATGTTAAATCGTTACCATTATTAAGAAATCTAAAAAACAAATTAGTATCTAATTCATTAATAAAGGGGATTAACCTAGTGGTAAAAAAAGATTGGAGTGCACCAGTAAAGTATCAACAAATACAAATAGAACATGTTCTGAGGGATTGGCTCTTCATTGGAGCTCTAAGGGCTTTACTCAACTGAAAATTAAGTAAAGAGTTGTACTTCAGGAAAAGAGTTGAAGTTATTACCTAGTGTAACATGGAATTAAAACAAAGGTTGCAATGTAAATTATGTCATGGGCCTAGACTCACCTTGCTAGTGTGAGCCCCAAGTAGGTGAATTCACTGATTTTGTATGTAAAATTCAACTTAGTTCTTCTACATCAAATTGATTGAGCAAACGGTCAGTCGGTTACATAACCGACTGAAAAATCGATTGAAAATTTGGACTGTCATAACCGACCGAAAAATCGACAAGTTTCAAACACACAATGAACAATTATTTCAAACATACAAGTTTACATAAAATATTTCAAACACACCATCCAAACATTTCAAACACAACATACAGAAATTGACATAAAATCTGATAAAATGACATCAAAATATTTCAAATATTTATCTAACTGAGGATGGCTGCTCTCAAAAAAAGTGTTTGATCAACTAAAGCATAGAAAATCTAATAAAATGACAATGAAGATATGCAGGTGAATGCTTTCCAAATCCTGGTAGAAGTAAAACTCTACAAATGTTTATAACTACATTTTTTAACAATTTCAAGCCCTGAACAGCAAACCTGTTGTAATTCTATTGCAGCAAGCCAGCAAACATAAGCCGTGGGCAGAGAGACCAGAGACAAGGGAGAAGTGTCGAGTGCGTAGGCTGTGAGGGACTGAGGGGCACTGGGCTGTGAGCGTGAGGCGGTGAGCGGCAGAGTCGTAGACTCGTCGAAAGACCAGAAAACCGTCATGGATTCATGCTCGTCTGTGGGCTGTGGAATGGTCGAATGGAGAAGCAGAGCTGCAGAGCCAGAAGCCAAGGGAAATCGGGAATGAAGGGATTAGGGATTTAGGGCTATGTCATTTCAGTATTTTGTGTTTTTTATTTTGTGTTGAGCATTATTTTGGGCTTGGGCTATTGGATATTTCATATTTGGATGACTATTGGCCATTGGCAGGATGAAATCACCATATTAGCCCATTGGATATATATATATATAGACACACACACACATACATATTGGTTATTGGTCACAGACCGAATCCAATAACCGTAAAATAACTGAAATACCGAAAATAATATTTTAACATCAATGACCGAAAACCGACTTTTTCGGTCGGTTTGGTTATTGGTTATAGCCTATAGGTTATCAGGCGGTTAACCAATATTTTGCTCACCCCTAAATTGATCTAAATTCAAATTGACTAACTGTGATGAATCTGACTTGTGGTTGTGACGAAATTAACTACACAACAAATTTGATGAATTTCTAGACAGGGCTCACAAAGGCTCACAGTATTCCAAGTCCTAACTACACAACAGATGCATGATGTCAAATATATTATATACGCCAATTTACAGTACTATCACACAAAAGCTTCAAATAACCCAGATGCAACACCATATTCAGTTACGATGCAGATACTTCTAGGTCCTTCAAGAAGTTATGCACAAGGTTCAAAAATATTTTAAATATAAGGTTTAAAAATCACTCAAAATTAAACTTGTGTTAATTTTATAAATAAATTTTAAAAAATTAGTGTTAGCAAACAAGTTTTCTAAACTAAAAACATAAAATAAAAAACAGAGAATGAAAACTGAAAAATTAAAAAAAAACAAAAAATCGCCAAATAATTGACTGAAGCCAAAAATAAATAACCGCCAAATAACCAAATTTTTATAACATCAATAACCGAAACCGACCGAAAATCGAATTTTTTGATCGGTTTGGTTATCGGTTATCGGGCGGTTAACCGCAGTTTTGCTCACCCCTAAATATAGAGAGATTGGGATGGGGATGGGAGGAAACCTCGACAGGAATTGAAAATTAATCCCGATCCCACAAGGCAGGGATTCATGTTCCTCATCAGGTACAATTGTCATTCCTAAACCAAACCCACCTTTATCATGTGACAGACGAGTAGGGCAAGTCCAACCCATTTTGATAACTATAATCCTTCAAGACGTTATGCACAACAACACAAACCAGCAGTATAAATAGTCAGCTAGATAAAAGTCTCCATGATTTCTCTTAAAATTTCTTCAGTAATATCCCCTCTTTAATTTATTCTTGGAAACTACTTCTTTACTGATTTTTAACAAACACTTGGTGTGCATATCAGAGAGACAGAAACAAAGACTGCTTATAATTCCCATTAACAGTTGGTGTGCATTCGGGGATCATGAGATATCACATTTTGATGAAGACATCGAAAATACTCTTTTAAAATTGAAAAAGAAATTTAATCACAAAATTTGAAGCACTATAATTCAATAAAAAATTCAAATAATTTAATCCAGAAAGTATCTACAATGCAGAAACTCTGAAGCTAACAAAAATGTAACAAAGAGGCAGTAAAAATCAAAATATTGATTCATAACCTTCAAAATTCTAATTCCAAAAAGATTAACATCATAACAAGAATTTCCTTACCAGCTTTGTATGACCGTAGACGGGTCCGATCGGGTAGATACAAGATGGAGACTCCAAATAGGGCGTTACTAATAAGAAAGAAGAGGCACCGCTCGTCGATTCGTCGGTAACCGGTGACAAGCGTTGTGGCACTATGTGAATCGGATTCACGGAGATAGAGGGAGAAATGGATAACGCCAGAGCAAAGAGGCGAACAAGACACTAGAGATTCCAATTCATATTTTAATGTGCGTATTTTTGTAATAATTTATCAATTTTTACTTAGGGGATGATTGTTTGGTTTGGGGAAAATATTTTAAGGGGAGTGAAATTGGAATTCAATATAAAAACAATTATTAGGAAGATGAATTTCATTATTTGGATGGTAAAAAAAAATTACTGTGAATACTAATTCTATTGTTTGGTTAGATTTAGAATTGTAAGGAATAATGAGTATAAAGACCTATATGCCCATACAAATTAATAAAAGTAATATAATTAAAAAAAAAAAGAAAACAAGAGTAAAATAGACAATCCATTCACTTTTTCTTCCCATCTTTCATGGAAAACAAAGTCCTTGGTCCAACCAAGGATTTTGTTTTCCTCAAATTTGAGGAATTCATTTTTCAATGGAAAATAAATTCCATGAACCAAATAACATTTTCCTTCACTTTAAGGAAAATATTTTCCATGAACCAAACATCCCCTTAGGGGTCGTTTGGTTCACGAAATGTCATATTACATTGGGGTATGTAATATAATCATGTTGGTTTATGATTATCTTTATTATTATTATTATTATTATAAGGGAGGGGGATACCCTACATATACACACTATTTACCTCAAATGAGGTTCAAACCTTACACCTCCCACTTAGAGGAGCAACCCGATACCAGTGAACTACAAGCCACTTGGTATTTAAGATTATCTTTTATACACACTATAATATCCTTAACATATTTTCATATATTTTAATAAATTTAAAAATTTAAATAAATAAATAAGATAACAGTATCATATATAATTACAATTTTAAAATATTAACTAAAATCTTGAACGTGAGAAACAAAATTATTTTATACGGCTGACATAACATAATAAAAATAAAAAATATATATAATTACAAAATTAATTAATTATATATATATATATATATATATATATATATATATATATATATATATATAATAAACTAACATAACCAAGGTTACATTACCTAAGATTTTGAAGGGAATCACATTCCCTTCAAAATCCTATGTGGATGGAATGTGACATTCCTTGGGAATGTTAGATTCCCTAAGATAATATGAACCAAATATCGGAATGTGAGCTTTGGAATGTCACATTCCCTTGGTTATGTTATATAACCTGAACTAAATGCCCCCTTAGTGGAGGAAAATGCTGTTTTCTTGTGTTTGGTTCATTGAATTCATTTTCTATTTGGAAAATGAATTCTTCAAATTTGAGGAAAACAAAATCCTTGGTTAGGGAGATGAGAAGAAAAAGTGAGATGGAATGCCTATTTTACCCTTGTTTACTTTTTTAATTATATTACTTTTATTAATTTGTAGGGGTATATAGGTCTTTATACTTGTTATTCCTTACAATTCCAAATCTAACCAAACAATAGAATTAGTATTCCCAGTAATTTTTTTTTCACCAACCAAAGAAGGAAATTCATCTTCCTAGTAATTATTTTTCCATGGAATTTCAATTCCACTTTCCTTAAAATATTTTTCGCGAACAAAACGAGCCCTTAGGGTGTGTTTGGAAAACAAAAAAAAATGACCTCTTATAAAACATGTTCCTTTATAATGTTTGGTTGCATTTCATAAAATTGTTTTGGTGTGTTTGGTTTATTTTTTTGGAAAATGAGCATAATTACTTTTTATTTAAAATATTTATAATATACAATGATGGTGGTTGTGGTGGTCATACTAATAAGCATGTAACTTTTCTTCATGGTCAATAAACATATTTCTCACATCTTGATATTTAGACTTTTGCTTACAAGTGCTTATATAGTGGCTTAAAGTTAATGTTCCTTACTTGTGTGACCCAATAGTGTACTCTTTATTATAATACTTAATAGACACAAAACATTATTTTAAGGTGGGAGAATATATTTTACTAAAATTAATTATGGGTCTCTGCATGAATCATGGGCTACAAAACTCGCTTTATCAACTAGAAAGCTATAAATCTTTGCCTTAGGGAGTTATAATACTTAATAGACACACAACATTATTTTAATGTGGGAGAATATATTTTAGTAAAATCAATTGTGGGTCTCTGCATGAACTATTGACTACAAAACAAGCTTTATCAAGGCTAGAAATGTTTGCCTTGGAAGTTTGTAGATCAAGTCGAAGATGAATTTTGTACCCTTCTAGTTGATTATCCCACATTTTAATTGCAGATTTAAAAGAACAAAAACCTAATTTGAAGAAATATGTGCGCCGACTGCTGAAAGGAATCACATATTATTTTAAATTAAAGTGTAAAATCTAAATTTACAGTTTTACCTTTCATTTTAACATCAAATTAACGTCAAATCTAAATTATTTTGACTTAAAATTTTAAAATGGAATGTCTTATTTTAAAAAATTAAAAATTAAGAGACCAATTTGAAAAAAGATTAAAGTCGAAGAACTATTTTAAAAATTAACTCTTTATAATATATAAATCTATAAATCTTGAAAAAAAAAATAGAATTAATTTTAATTTTAACATTCAAAGCCCTAAAATTTCTCAATCTAAAGACACAGCCACAGTGACACACCTCCTCCGCCTTCCCTTACTCCTTAGTCACTCACGTCAACGGCCGTCGGCGATACACCCTTATCCCTATCACTTCCGGCATTACTCCGGCGGACAACAGCTTGGCGAGTGTTATTTTGTTTCACCTGTTCGTTCTATTTCCTGCAACCTCACAAGATTGCTACTGGTGGACCTTGCTCCCGTGCTCAGCCCATGGCTCTGAAGGTTTCAGCTCGTGGAAAATGGTATCACTAATCCCAGAACTATCAATAATTCAAGTGATTGCAATATGTTGTAAGTCCAGATCATTATTGCTAGCCTAGTTTCATAATTTTATTACTTTGATCATCATAATTGCTAACAAGAGATCCAAGTTTGTGATTTTATTCAATAATCCAGTTAATAAAAAAATGCATATGATGTGGTGGCATGAACCAAGATAAATGACAATAACAAGGGTGTTGATTGCTATGATCTCTTTGCTTGAGCTTTTATATGAAACTGAACTGTGATAAGATGAGAATGAACAACATTCAATTGCAATTTACTAGCATGAATTTAGAATTAAAAGATTTTGCTGATGGGTGATAGTTCCAGTGGAGGGATGGAGTTGAACAAGGCTCATAATATGTAATATGAACCGTGCTGCAAAAATCCTGCTTAGGCTCTGATTAATCGGCGCCTAGGCGCTAGGCGTTGGTGGGCCGCTTAGCGTATCACTATAATCGGTGGTATAGGCGGCCGCTTAGGCGCTGACCGCCTAGACGACCGCCTAGACCTCCTAGGCTGCCTAGTCGGCCATTTAGCTATTGTTAATTTTTTTTTTTAATTGGCTATTTCACTCAACCATAAATTGTTCAAACTCTAGATGTTTTTTAGGTTAATATTTAATATTTTAGTATTAACTATTAAAGTATTAAATATTTTATAATTATTAGTCTTAATAAATGTAAAATTTTAAACAATTTTTTAAAAAAAAAATAAAAAAATACATGGGCCCCTATTAATCGCCACTTAGGCGCCCGAGGAGCGCCTAACAATTTTTTCAACCATGAATATGAACAAGGCTCTTCCTAAAGAATCACTTTCTACTTGTTACTGATATTCATCTGCTAAATTAATCCTGCTATTCATCAGGTTGATTTAATGTTAAATGGATTGGGCAAGTGGATATGGGACTTTTTGCCATTTCTTTACTTGTATTTCCTGCGTGCTAAGACTACTAATTGTGTCTTGTCCAAATATTTCTTCTATGGTTCTGTATTGTGTGCTTGTGACAAGTAAGAAAGGAATTTGGTAACAGGCTGGAATCAACTTTTGTAATGATCCTTGTTTGGTTGGAATCAACTTATTTACTGGTTTTTATGCCTAGTGTAACAGAACTTTTATATATTTTCTTTGAACTCTAAATTTTATCTAGTTTTTATTATTTATGTTGGGATATATCAATTTATAATTTTAATAGTAGCATTTTGCAGTTACAAGTCGAACTCAACCTCAAACTCGAGCTCGGGCTCGAATTCGAGCTCGAGCCATATGAAAATTAGCAAGCTGAACGCGAGCTTAAATTTTAAAGCTTGAGCTCGCCTCAACTTGTTTGCACCCTAGTTTGGAACATGAAGTCATTGTTTTAAGGATGTAAACATAAGTTCTTTTTTTTTTTTTTGAAAATAACATAAGTTCTTGTTTGTTACTTATTTTAAGATGCACTTTTTTCTTTAGTGCAGTTGACAGATCTTGAAGTTTCTACTACATTTATCAGGTTTGCGTTGCTGCGTCTGAGACTGGATTGAGGTTCAATATGGTGAGCGAGAGTGGTAAACAAACAAACCAACTGCTAGAAAATGCGTGTTGTTTCCTCCGGAAGTGCATTTTTTCAGTACTTTCTGTTGGTCCAATTCCTAGCCATATTGCGTTTATAATGGATGGAAATCGACGATATGCTAAGAAGCAGACTTTGGAAGAGGGGGATGGGCATAGGGCTGGGTTTTCTGCTCTTATGAATATGCTAAAATATTGCTATGAGCTCGGTGTGAATTACATAACTGTTTATGCCTTTAGTATTGAAAACTTCAAAAGGCGCCCTGAAGAAGTTGGATCCCTTATGCACCTGATGCAGGAAAAGATTGAAGAGATGATTAAAGAGCAAAGCATAGTGAACCACTATGGAATCCGAGTTTATTTTCAGGGGAACTTAAAACTTTTGAGTGACCCTGTTAGGTCAGCAGCAGAGAGGGCTATGGCGGTAACTGCAGGTAACTCAAACGCCACTCTATCAATCTGTGTTGCCTACACATCAACGGATGAGATTGTACATGCTGTTGAGCAATCATGTGAAGAAAAATGGAAGGAAATCAGTGAAAAAAATCGAAATTCTGCCCGAAATGATATAACAGAACATTTGAATGGAAATGATAAGATTGAGAATCTTATTGGCTCGAGAGATATTGATAGACATATGTATATGGCTGTTGTTCCCGATCCTGATATCATAATACGTACCTCCGGGGAAACTCGTTTAAGCAATTTCTTACTATGGCAGAGTGCAAAGTGTCTTCTTTACTCTCCCACCGCCCTTTGGCCAGAAATAGGTTTCCGGCATTTGGTTTGGGCAGTTTTGGATTTCCAACGGAACTACTCCTACCTTAAGGGGAAAGAAAAGGAAACATAATTTTTTAGGCGGGATAAGTTCATTTAGGGGTCATAGTCATTGTGGAATGAGATTTCCTCTACAAAGATCGGGTTGGGACTTGTTTTTGGTGATCTCGATTCTCGCCCTTGGGTGAAGACGATGACGATAGATACATTCACACAGAACTGGATGTAAGTAAACGCTATCTGGAGAATTTACTGTTCTATAGCCAATCATTATATGCATCTCCCACTATATCTAAACATAGACTGTGTTGTATCAATATGGATTTCATCCCTGTTTACGCTTAGATTGCCTGTCCAGCATTCTGTTTATCTGCCTCGTGGCCTCTGAACTCCATGGTTTGGTTCTTCTTCTGGAGCTGGACATATTTCATCAGATTTTATGTGAGTTTTTTTGTATGTTAAAAGTAATCTATGCTCTTTTTTTAATTGACTTGACCTGTAAACTATATTTAGGAAATAAAATTGGCATCTTTCCCTTTTTATTTTATTTTATTTTTAAATTATAAACAGCTCTAGGGATATATGTTACACCGTAATTCCTGGTCTAAGATAACCAAATTTATATATGTATTTAGTAAACTATTAAACTTTTCAAAAATTTATATATGTATTTAGTAAAATTAAAGGGCAAAGTGATGGCCAGATTGGTTTTTCTATACGAGAGGCGGTTTGAACTCCCAACCTCGAACTCCCGACCTCTTTTAAGGGATGAGAGTGCACGACTATTCACGTCAACCAAATTAAACTTTTCCATTTTTTTTTTACATATATAAAAGTATGTTCAATATTATAGTCACAAATGATACATAAATCAAGATAATTAAATTGCTTTTTAAGGTTGAGAGTTAATTGTTACAAAACACAAATGTTTAAATTTTTTCACCAAATTTTAAAGTTTGGATATAATTATCATAAGACAAATGTTCGAAATTTTTCCACAAATAAACATTTAACAAAAGGAAAAAAAAAAATATATATATCAAAGATAAGCGTTAAATATTTACCATCATTGTCAATCAATCTTGCACATGTACCATTGCCATACAATGGAGTTGGGTTTAACATTGTTCAAAAAGATTCATAATATTTTTTGATTCAAATTTTCATATAAAAATATTTATGCCCTATACTATACTTTCACTATTCAATATTCATCCCCTCATTCTATATGATGGAGTTCGGCAAGGAGGGAATTGCATGTATATTCAAAGCTTACATTATTTGTAAAGTTTTCAAAAGTAATTTTGTCTTGATAAAAGCTTTCGAAGTATATTTTTGTGGGGCCAAAATTGATTTTAAAGACTATTGTTAGAGCAACTTTAATAGGAGTAGTTTTTTTTTTGTGATTTTTGAGGTGTCAATTAGGAAAGAGAGAGAGGAGAGGGAGAGAAGAAGGAAAAAGAGGGGAAAAAAATTGGTCAGACAAAAAAATAAAATAAAAAGAGGACTTCCCTAGTCTGGTCGACCTCCCCATGAATCCATCAACTTTGTTGGTCGGGGTTCTCGATCGACCTCTGTCTGTGCGAATGGTCTCGGCCGACTTGGCCACCTTGGGTCCAAAGTCGAGAGACTTCGACCTATAACAACTAGTACCCTAGGGGCGATACCGACTTCGCCTATTGCCAAATGGAATAACTTTTGGGTCCAAAGTCGAATGACTTCGACCTGAAACCGCTAACGCCTAGGGGCGATACGAGGTTCAACCTCGCTTATTGCCAAACGGAAGGGCTTTTGGGTCCAAAGTCAAATGACTTTGACCTAAAATCGCTAAAAGCCCTAGGGGCGATATGAGGTCTGACCTCGCTTACTGCCGAATAGAAGAGCTTTTGGGTCTAAAGTCAAATGACTTCGTCCTGAAACCGCTATACCCTAGGGGCGATACGAGGACCGACCTCTCCTATTGCAAAACGAAAGAGCTACGGTTCCAAAGCATAAGTACTTCGACCTAATGGCAAACCACGTCAAACAAAGCAAAAAAAAAAAACAAAAAAAAAACAAAAAACAAAAAAACAAACAAACAAAAAAAAAAAAAACAAACAAACAAACAAAAAACACTCAAAGAGGTCGGGCTTGGCTGACCCCTTGGTCGGCCGAGCTCGGCCAACCCCTGGGCCGACATCTCAGGCGTATAGCCGACCTCCTTGAGTCAAAATTAGGCCGAGCTCCGAGCTCGACCCGATGTCCTTAGGTCAATACTAAGACGAGCTCTGAGCTCGACCCGACCTCCCTAGGTAAAAACTAGGCTAAGCTCCGAGCTTGACCCGACTTCCTTATGTCAATGCTAGGCCGAGCTTAGAGTTGGGTTCGACCCCCTTGGGTCCAAGGCCAAATCGAGCATAAGCTCAACCAAGTTGAGCGTGGGGGAGTTGAATCCCGCCTCCTCGAGGTGGCCATACATCTGAAACCAAGTAAGGTCCGACCACCCTAATTAAGCTAATTTTGAGTTCATCCCAAGGAGCTCAAGTTAAAGAGCTCATCTGAAGTGGGGTCGAAGCCTTTGAGTTTGAGGTTGGACCTCAAGTCTTAGAGCTCGTCCGGAGCGGAGCTCAAGCCTTTGCGTTTGTTTGTAGTTGGACCTCAAGCCTTGGGGCTCATCCGAAGCGAGGTCCAAGTCTTGGAGTTTGAGGTTGGACCTCAAGCCTTAGGGCTCATCCGAAGCGGGGTCCAAGTCTTTGAGTTTGAGGTTGGACCTCAAGCCTTAGGGCTCATCCGAAGCGGGGTCCAAGTCTTTGAGTTTAAGTTTGGATCTCAAGCCTTAGAGCTCGTCCGGAGTGGAGCTCAAGCCTTTGCGTTTGTTTGTGGTTGGACCTCAAACCTTAGAGCTCATCCGGAGCGGACCTCAAGCCTTGGAGTTCATCCGAATGAAGCCCAAGTCTTTGCGTTTGTTTGAGGTTGGACCTCATCTCAAGGTGTTCAAGTGTGAAGAGCTCGTCGCATGGAGCTCAAGTGGAAAGGCTCAGCACGAAGGGCCCAAGAGCTCAAGTTCTTGCACCCGTGGAAAAGTTTGGACATCAAGCTTTGGAGCCCGATCCGAGTAAGGTGGTGGAGCTCAAATCCTTGCACTTGTTTGAGGTCGAACCCCAAACTTTGGAGCTCACTCACGCAATGCAAAGAGATATAAGTGCAAACTGTTGAAGGAAAATATACATATACACATGTGACTTCAGTGCTGTGTTTTAGAGGAAGTAATGTCGTGTTGTCCAAGGTCATGGAGTAGGAGTACTCTCTTTCGCTGACGACTTCTCGCAGTTCAGAGAGTGTGGGACTGATGATGGAATAATTATAAATGGACCTAGAGCGGGGTAATATGGAGCGGACCAAACCCGGAGCACTAGAACTGGACCTAAGCCGAGGTTGGCCATGGTAAGGTCGGCCACCCTGGGGTCGGCCACTTGGCTGAGCTCCGTGCTCAGCCAAGGGGCAGGGTCTCCGCGTTGTTCGAGTCTTGCTGCATTTGTTACGGTCCAAGACAGTTGAGACAACTTCCCACCATTTCCTCTGGGGTTGTGGCAAAGTTGGGTATAAAAGCCCTCATTTATGTATTGTTGAGAGACAATCTGTCCTAATCCACAATCTTGTCTTGTTATTACATAATTCTTACCTTTGTAATAGCATTTCATCCGTAATTAATACAATATTTGTCCCCGTGACTTTAAACCCAAAAGCTCAATGATTCTACAATACCTAATTAATACCTAATCATATCTTGTTATTACATAATTCTTACCTTTGTAATAGCATTTCATACGTAATTAATACAATACCTTTGAATCCCAACAGTCACATTCTTGGATGTATTTTACTACACGCACGAGCTTTGCTCAATGATTCAACATGGATTACACCCATAGTGGATAGAAGGTTCGACGACAACGTGGAAATTTGTGATTTACAACTTCTTATTGAGGGAAGAATAATTCAGGAAACAAAGTGGTTGTAGTTTAGTGGTAAGAATTCCACGTTGTGGCTGTGGAGACCTGGGCTCGAATCCCAGCAGCCACATTGTTGGATATATTTTACTGTCCGCTCGAGGTTAGCTCAATGATTCAACATAGATTACACCCAAAGTGGATAGAAGGTTTAGTGGCAATAGTTTAGTGGTAAGAATTTCATGTTGTGGTTGTGGAGACTTGGGCTCAAATCTCAGTAGCCACATTTTTGTTCAATGATTCAACATAGATTACGCCCAAAGTGAAGGTTCAGCGTCAACGTGAAAATTTGTGATTTACAACTTATTAAGGGGAATAAATTGGGAAATAAAGTGGTTGTAGTTTAGTGGTAAGAATTCCACGTTGTGGCCGTGGAGACTTGCGCTTGAATCCTAGCAGCCACATTCTTGGATTAGTATTTTACTACACGCACGAGCTTTGCTCAACGATTCAACATGGATTACGCCCATAATGGATAGAAGGTTCAGCGGCAATGTGGAAATTTGTGATTTTGGGAAACAAAGTGGCTATAGTTTGTGGAGACCTTTACAACTTATTGAGGGGGCTATAGTTTAGTGGTAAGAATTCTACGTTGTGGCCGTGGAGACCTGAGGAATAATTTGGGAAACAAAGTGGCTATAGTTTAGTGGATAGAAGGTTCAGCGGCAACGTGGAAATTTGTGATTTACAACTTATTGAGGGAGGAATAATTTAAGAAATAATCTAGCTATAATTTAGTGGTAAGAATTCCATGTTGTGGCCGTGGAGACCTGGGCTCGAATCCTAGTAGCCACATTCTTGTATATATTTTACTGCCCGCACGAGATTAGCTCAATGGACATAGATTACGCCCAAAGTGGATGGAAGGTTCAAAGGCGACGTGGAAATTTGTGATTTACAACTTATTGAGGGAGGAATAATTTGGGAAACAAAGTGGCTGTAGTTTAGTGGTAAGAATTCCACGTTGTGGCCGTGGAGACCTGGGCTCGAATCCCAGCAGCCACATTCTTGGATTTATTTTACCGCACGAGCTTAGCTCAATGATTCAACATGGATTATGCCGGAATAATTTGGAAAACAAAGTGGTTGTAGTTTAGTGGTAAGAATTCCACGTTGTGGCCGTGGAGACTTGGTCTCGAATCCTAGCAGCCACATTCTTGGATATATTTTATTGCCGGCACGAGATTAGCTCAATGATTTAGCAAAGGTTAATCTCAAAGTGGGTGGATGGTTTAGCGGCGGAAATTTGTGATCCTCAATTTATTAAGGAGTTTAGCTCAATGATTTTGCCAAAAGTGGATATATAGTTCGGCAACGTGGAAATTTGTGATTTACAACTTATTAAGGGAGGAATAATTTAGGAAACAAAGTGGCTGTAGTACCATGGAGACCTGGATATATTTTATTGCCCGCACGAAGTTAGCTCAATGATTCAACAAATCCGTCACATTCTTGGATATATTTTACTACCCGCACGAGCTTAGCTCAATGATTCAACAGAGATTATACCCAAAGTGAGTAGATG